AATAAAAATTGTTAAACATTGATACACTGAATAATTGGAACAATGTGGTTCTGTTTTATATTGGTACTGTTGAGGCTTTGAAGTTTTCTTGGTAAAACTTAGATTCTTAAAGGGGTGTAGATCAGAGGGTAACATTGTGGTACAATTAAACCATGTTGTGAACTTGCAGGTGAAGTTATGAGGTATAAAGTTTTATCAGGCCTATAGAATAGGACATCTTTCCTTCTGCAGACTTGACTCGAATAAAAGCTCAATGGTAGAGCTTGGACACAGGTCATTTGGTTCTGGTGTGTTGGACATGTTTAAAATTATAGGACATGCAATTAGGGATTTGTATATGAGACCACTGTTGTAAAGGGATATAAGGTATTTCCTTGGATACTTGCACTTCTAGATTTGGAAACAACTGGACCAACAGCAGTTTTTTATTTTTTTATAACTGCATTAAACTTGATTGCAAGCAGCGATCTGCACCCCTAATCTCTGACTATATTAAATGCTTGTAAGGTCTGATTCTGAAAAGGCTTAAGTGAAGAGTGCAAGTTGCCCTGAACTGTAGCTTTTGGAGCAAAGACTCCAGCATCACAGTCTATGCCTTTTTAGTCTTCCCCAAACTCTTGAATGGACTTCACTGCACTGCCACCTTTCCCCACCCTGCTTCTCATGGCTGTCTTACATGTTTTTTTGTTTCCAAGCTTCAGAAGATCAGATTTCAATATATGACTAACAGGGATTTGCTCAACTGCAACCATCTGAATCTGGCGTTTGAAAGCAGGGAAACATCTTAAACATGTAGGGCAGTACAAAACTAATTTCAAAGTAAAATCATTCAGTAATGGCTATAGCTGACTTTTAGGTCCTTCTGTGGAGGATATGACTACTGGACAATGTAGTTAGACTGATCCAAATGTTTGATCAAACACTTTTGTATTGGAAATGTTTGGGTTAATATAACATAACCTTTAAAATGATGTTCCTGTTCGTTAAGATGTGCTTACATAGTTCTATCCGCATTAATCTTGCCATTTAGAATCTATAGACATGTTCCTATGTGGGTGTAGCGTTTGCGGAAGACGTTGGCTTGCTCTCGCGATACTTTGGAAAAGTCGTGGGATTTTAGAAATCGAGGGTTGTGGCAAAGGGGGTAAGTGACCACATAAACTGATAATGGACGTATTTTCAACTGTGTCAAAATCCAAAGTTGGTGTGATCCAGAGGTACTTGTCTTCGGAGCAATAACACCGGAGCTAAACTAGACGCTGACATATATGTTTACATCGCTGGTAGCTGCTAATATGGCGACGGCTAAGTGTTAATGCAGAGCTAAATTTCATGGAAGCGACCAGAAACAGATAAACGCCTCCAGTGTAGCAACTAAACAGCTGTTATATGAGCGCAGAGTGTTTTTACTTAGAGGCAGAACATGATACCTTCATTAGGAGTTTGAATAAATAAATCTGTCGGTCTTCTATGGGAGAATGGACGTGTAAACAACCAGAGCAGCCGCCCCTTATCGATAAGGCTTTGTGCTCCCTACCTTTACAATCAGGGCTGCATTTTATTACATAGGCTCCATCCTAGATCTTATTAAATTTATAAACAATGACTTCTCTACTGCAAATCGTTTTTTGGTCAGACTTATTGTTTTTTATTTAATATAGGTCGATATAAAAGGAACTCCTTAATATGAGTGATGATAAGCCCTTCCAGTGCACTGCTCCTGGGTGTGGACAGGTAAGTTCTTTGAATTATCTATTATAAAACACCATAATTAAAGTAACATAGGCTATATACATATCAGTCATTTTATTTCTAAATCCAAATCTTATGCTGTTGATTAACCATAACAGTAGAATTTACCTGCAGAGTCTTTTGCTCATGTTAAATTGTGGCTCTAAATACAATTTAGACCTAAAAACATAATTGGTGCAAAAAAGATGTAAGTTGATAATAATGTATTTTCATAGCACATTTCAGCACGGGCGGAGCTAGATGGGGGGCCAGGGGTGGCCACCCTTAGCCAATCATTGGCCACCCTTACCATTTATTTCCCTCTAAAGGCTGATTTATACTTCAAAACCAGGTCCTCTGCATAGGTGTCGCAGTGAACAAAAAGCAGTCCCTGCCCCCTCCGCTGACACTCTGCTGCACCTCTTTTAAATTGTAATTGACCACAGACAGGAGGCCGGCTTTTATGACCGAAATTGCGGAAAACAAGTTGGACCAGCTAGGAGATCGAGGTGCGCGAGAATGCTGGGACCCTTTTTTCACTTGGATCTCCGCTCTTTTTCGCCGTCATGTCCCTCCGTTGTCGGACTAAACTCGCCCCCACTTCCTCATCATCTTGGCCGCATCTAGACCAACAGCGTATAGCGTAGACCACGCTTCAATATTGAGCATAAATCAAAAATGTCTGCGTCAAGCTCACTGCGACACACAGCTGCAGGAATATACCCAGCCCTTAATACAGATGGTGGCAGCAGTAATACAGTGGAATATTCAAAACATTTTAATTTTTTTTTTGTTTAACTATACGCATCAATATGCTAATGTCAAAGATGATAAGTACCGAATTTAAAAGTACAGAAGCTCTTTTCAGAACTAGATTTGGTGTTACATGGGGTAAAGAGAAAATTATGCAAGTCATCTAGGAGTGTTCAGTGAAATCATAGATAAATATTTTGATAAAAACTTATCAAATAATCAATTTATGTAGATGTTAGTGCTTGTAAATATCAATTTTATGCAGATTGTTTATTGATACAAGTAGGTAAGTAATGACAATGGAAAAGATTTAAGCCCCAGAACTCAGAACTATACCTTTTATCTAGAAATTACGAGTGTTTAAATATATGCATCTATTTGTTAGCAAAGGATGTAGGAAAGTATATTTTGTCTTTATTTAGAAAATATGGACGTTTTGCTCGTTAATTTTCCTGTTGGAACATTGTAGATTGACCCTGAGGTTCTGATGCCTATCCACTTTCGGCCACCTCTCAATGTAGATTGGTTATTGCCTGGCCACCCTTATGAACATTTTCTGGTTATGCTTCTGCATTTCAGGGGCAATTTAAAATATTTTACATAATCAAAAATAGAGCAAATGTGCAGACATTATTAAAAACATCAACCAAATACACAACTAATCAAAAAAATTTAATTCATCATTAAACAAATCATCAACCAGATGGACAATGTAAACATAGATTATTAATGTGTATTAAGATATTTTGTTTAGTACAGTTTTCACCTGGATTTGATTACAGACTACTAATTAAAGGCAGCTATAAACAGGTATTAAGATGGGTCTTACGCCTTATTTAAAGGAATTTAATGTTTTGACTGTTTTCCAGTTTTCTGGGAGTTTGTTTCCAGATTAAAGGTGCAGAAAAACTGAAAGCTGCTTCTTCATGTTTTGGTTCTGAAGAAAACAACCTGTTGTTTTTTTTTTTTTTGATAATGCCTTAGTTAAGTTTCTGTGTTTTAAAACTTACAGACTTTGAGAAAAAAAAACCTACAGTATACCCTAAAATACATTTTCTTTTACCCTTTTTTTTTAATTTATTTTTGTTTTGTTTTTTAAGAATCACTTGGATGGTCAATGGATGAGTTGGACTGCTGAATTTTATCTGATAAATTTTTCTCCCATCTCATGGATAGAGTTACACTTTTTTTTTGCAGGGTCTTCTGTTAAAGTAACTTTTCTCTATTTTAATATCTCTCATACCTTTTTCACTAGTAGACATTTAATTTGCATTCCCTTTCCAAATGAAAAACAACATAATTTGTGTATTTTAATAAGATTTAAGCTGATTAAGGAACACAAAAGTGGTGCATAGCTGGTTAATAATAAATTAAAAAGGTAGAAAATAGGGGTGGAACGGTTCACGGTCCACGGTTCGGTTCGGTTCACGGTTTCGTGGTCACGGTTTTCGGTTCGGTTCGGTATATGTTGATTGTTAGGAAAATCTACTATGTCTTGTATAGTACAACACATAGTAGATTTTCCTAACA